AGTGAACATATCATGATATACTAGATTATTCTACATGGCTAATACAAAACTATAATGATCTTATATTAAAATAATTCTATTTACATGGGTATAAAAGTTCATAATTATTTTATTTTTACAGTTTTTGAAATAAATAGAATTATTTCTGAAAAAACTCATTATTCTATAGTAATAGCCATGTAGAATAATCTAGTATATTTTTTAAAATATTCTTTAGCTTCCAGATATTATATGTGATTAGTATTTATTCATTGATGTAACTTTCTAACTTTATATTTCACCATTCATTTCAAATCCAGGATATTCATCCATAATTGCACAAATCTAATTCAAGAGCGTAATTCAATCTACCATTCTAAAATGGTATGCCACAATTGCACATCCATACTAATTTCAAATGCACATCTCTACTACCCTGCCCTATATTCAATTTAAACGGTTCTCGTATTAATAATAATTAAGATCACTGAATTACAACCTGCCAGTTTCAACATAAACGGGAAGATATTTCCAATACCCCGCATATATGCCATTAAACCTATGTGTCAAAAATAGCTAAAGGTAATTTGTAGACACATATATTCCTAAATATTCCTACCAGAGGGCTCTAAGCAATTATAGATGTTTTGACTCCCGTTAACTAACTAGTTCATGAATGTGCAACAAAAGTGGGCTGGTGATTAAAATAGTTTGAGCATCCTTTTAAATGGTTTTGTTCCGACTCCTGAGTGGACCATTCAAAAGATACTCGTGTCGTAAGCATCTGGAGAGTCATGTTTTGAGATGTTGTTTCGCCTTTTATTTAGCATGAAACTCCAGGAGTTTTAGAAGGTGCTTATGAAGTTGGAGTGTTTTTCACAAGTTTGGGACAGGCAGATAGATGTTAAATATATAGAACAAGTAATGTAAAAAAAAAAAATTTTAAAGTTAATTCCTACTTCGGTCAAGAAAGAAATTTTGTATATTAATTACTTTTTATCGAATAGTTTCAATTAATATGAATATGTATATACATATGACAGACACAATATTAAGTGACAAAATAGAAAACGAATTTCCACGGAATTTTCCATTTTCCTTTCTATATAGGGTGTTCGACTATTTTTTTTTTGTTACTATTTATCAATTAATTAAATTTGTTTATTTTAATAAAATAGTATGGTAAAAATGAAATCACATTCTCAGAAACAAAGCCATCCCAGATGGGATTCGTACCCACGACCTTTGTATTAGAAGTCCAACGCGCTATCCATTGCGCTAAAGAGATACAACGAACGATTTTCCTTTCTATATATGCTGTTTGGCTATTATTTTTGTTTGTTACTATTTATTCATTGTTTAATTTAATTAATGAATTAATATTTGACAAAAATTGTATTAACATCAAGTGTCATCCACTAAAATTTTTTAAAAAAATGTATTTTAACTTGAATGGATGAATAGAAAGCATTTTATTAACGAGAGAGAGAGAGTGAACTAATAGTGGGGATTGATAAAATAATTTGGAGTATAGAGATTGAGTTAGAAAGAATACAATTTTAAATGATTGTGAGATTTATCTTTTCTTCAAACTTAAATGTTTAACAGTTTTTTTTTAAATTATAGTTTAAGTAACGTTTCCAAAGAAATTGTTACCAAAACACTTTTACGTAGATACAAACAATCTTTAACTATTTCTATAATTATTTTTATAATATAAAATAGTATTAAATATTTAAAAAAGATGTTTTTAATTTACTTGCAAATCAATGAATGAAGTAAAAAATGTTTTCCAAATAAATACATATCGATATATAAATTGTACATTTTATAATTTACTACTTCTCAAAACTGTTAATAAATCTCTTTGAAATCATTTGAGAAATTATACAATCCTACTTAATAAATAACTTGTATCCTACTTTTTAAATAAATATTATTTTTAAGTATGTAATTTATAATTGTAGTACATGCAAGTAAGTACATTATTTTGATGCATTATTAATAAATAGTAACTGTTAACATTATAATTAGTAAACTGTTTTATATGATTATTAATAATATAACAGGCTTCATAGGATGTTTTTGTTACCGCTGTGACGTTGCCACTGACAAAACTCTTTGTTGTTGTTACAGAGAGAGATTATAAGTCTATTTATCACCTCTTGAAAAACAATTTCGAGGAAATGTGTTATTGAACGATTCCTGTTTATTGGCATTTTTTAAATACAGCACTTTCGTGACAAATCAAACAATTACTGATCCATCTTTGTTTTTCACTACAAAATAGTCAACCACCCAATCGTCTTGAAACGATATATTTTCTTCGAATACTCTTCGCTTGCCAGATATGAAAGATATTTAAAAATTAGTTCCACCCATAAAATTGTCGATACTCTACTGTTGTCTGTTATCACTAACCATAACCGTTCCAAATAGAAAAATAATATCAATTCGTACCTGTACAACACCGACAGAAAAAAGTAAAATTGATATAATGGATTTCCTGACAAAGAATTTTCCACCAAATTTTTAATACAATGTTCTTAAATAAGTGAATTCCTCTGAGCAATGGGCTATGACCGGGCCACTTTGACAAACTTAATTTTTTGTTTAATCTAAGAAAAAACAAATTTAAGAAAATAAAATCTGCGTGGTTCAATTGCTTTACATTTAGAATTTTAAATCAAAACAATATCTTGTATGAACTGTTAATAAAATTTGTATTCTGTTTCATGTTTCATATTTGCTTCATATAATTCTTTAATTATACTGTTTCCAAATTCAGTGAATGCTTATTAACGCTATATTTTAAAGCAACACAGGGATATAATCCACGTACCTCGCAATTTTTAATCAGGGTCAAGAAACAAGGACAATATCAGAGCTATCACCCTTCTCCAAATTTCCACATCACACCACTGGGTTGTCCTTGAGCATGCATAAAAATTTCCAACGGCCATCAGCCGTTGACATTTATTAGGTTTTTAGCGGCACTGGGGCTCAAACTCAAAACATTACGCCCATGAATCTGTGACTATGACCACTAGTATACCACGTCCACTCTTCCAAAATTCAATACATCCCAATATTTTTTAAAGAAGCGAAATTTTTTTCTAGTAATCTACACATTAAGAAATGTGTACAGGATATCGCTACTCTATTTCACATCACGTTGGAACTCTTGCTGTTATCAGTAGTTATGATTTCGTTTTCAATCACATTTCCTTTCATCTAAATCAAATATTTACTTAGCATAATTACACGCAAAACCGAAGATTGAATATACATCAGCGTTTCTCCAACTGTTGGGCGCGCCCCCTTGGGGGGGGGGGGGGGGGGTAACTCTATGAGGGGGAAGCGAGCATATTAAAAAGTCGAAAACAAAAGATCCCTTAAAGAAATTGTTGATTTAGTGAAAGTAAACAAATACAATTCATTTTGACATAATAAAAATATAATATACATGTACCCTGATATAATGCACTTCTAAATGCATCAATATGTATAATGAACAAAGTATTTTATAATTAATTTAACAATACTAAGTTGCGAACAAATTTAATAATTACCAGTGACCTCATGGTCTCTTGTCATATATAAAATTATATATAAAAATTAAGACTCATTTTGATTATTTGTACAGTTTATAATAAATCCCTTAACTGCCAATTTAAAGTTATGCGACTCGCTTCCTAATGCCACCGTTTTCCACGTGGGCGCGCATATGTGATGTATTGAAGGGGAAGGGGAGGAATAAATAAGTATTTTAATACTTCGAAACCACTGTCAAGGTACATTTATTGCATTCCAAACTCTTTGGAATATTTGTATGCATAGTAGTGCGCAGAAAAGATGGTACTTCGGAAATACGTATATATACATCCGGGGCAATTAACGCTTTGGCTGAACGAGACGTTTATATACGCCAGTGGCACTAAAGAGGTTAAATTCGTATTGTAGCTTTATCGTCAAACTATACTTTTATTGAATTCAATACATTGTTATGCTATGGTGTAGGAGGGTGCGCGATGAAATTTATGATTGAATATTGAAAGCTTGAGAAGCACTGTTATACATCACTTTGAAGAGGGCGAAATACATCCAATTTCTTCGTTTACGATATAAAGTGTGTTTTTTGAGCTTTTTACAGAGTTAACGAAACGAAATTTATTCTCTTACTCGTTATACTTCTAAAAATGAGTCCCAATTCGTTTCGCAGGTTTACAGACAGAGGAGGCGATATTCCCTCTTATTGGACCGAATAACAATACACACGATAACTGGTGTGAGAGTCAGAATGGAATAGTTAAGAGTTCTTTTAAATGGCTCTCTTCCGGCTCTTGAATGGACCACTGAAAAGTTTCTCGTGTCGCGGACATCTCGAGAGTTTATTTCCGGAAGCAGTTTCGCCATCTGTTCCGGATGGAATTTCGGGAGTTTTTGGGATAGAGAGGAGTGGGTATATGGCAAGTATGGAAAGTAGAGTTTCCCCTGACCAAAAAGATAGTCCTCTGGAAGTAATTGGGTTAGAATAGGAATGAAGTATACCTTAAAGGATAAAATTACAACTGGAAAAGGGATTTGAAATTGCAGCAAAAATCGTTTAACACGAAACTGAGGAGGATGAAATATTTGTTCGTGTTAAAAGAATTTCGTGTAAAAGGATATTAAAAGAAACATATGTTCAAAAAAATTAAGTTTATTAAGTTATTTAAGTTGTATTATTTTATTAAACGAAATTTCGTCTTAAGCTTTTTCGCGCGTTAAACGTATTTCATTGTAAATAATAATATTGATCATTTTAATAATTTTGCAGTGTCTCTCGAAAAAGCTGTGAAATTTACATGTAATTGTTCTAAAGGGGATATGAATAAACATTGATAATATTTTTAATGTGTCTATTTTTTTATTTTCCTATAATCTTAAAAGACATAAACTTCCTTAAAATATTTCATTATCATCGTTCCTGGTTTGCTTCTCATCTTTCTAAAGTGTACTTGACACAAAATGGATGTAGGTTACTTAGTGGACAAATCACGTCTGGGTCACTAATTTGGGAGATGATCATGATATGACAGTTTTAAGTACTAATGCGAAAATGTATGACACGCTTTCTAAGTTGAAGAATTTTGAATGACATGACACGGGTCTCAAAGTTTGTCACTGGTTTTAAGCACAAGATCTAGGTGGTATTTCAAGAATCTGGTCAGGGACCCCAAAGCTAGGCTTTGCCATTTTGTGTCTCACTAAAGTCGGATTCTGTCACATTTTCAAAAGAAGACTCATAATACAGAATGTTGTTGGACGTAGCTGAGATTATTATTCAACAATTAGCCCCTCATGAACTCTCACTGGGCATTGATCTTGGGCAGTTTCTCACAAGCTTCGACCAAAATAATATCAAAAGTCAGTGGCATAAAGAAGAATATTAGCCCCCGCCCCCGTTGCAAAGTTAGGTTTTGGGGCCCAGGCTGGATCTAAACCATAGCCCTTGGTCCCTCCTAGAATCCTGGTCCTTCCACAATACTGGGTGTGAGGGGGGGATGTGTTAAGCCCCTGTAAAAGGTTGACTTGTTCCAGAATGTGTGTGTCGGCGTTGTCCTCTTCTGGATACTTTCCCACGAGAAATTAAGTGACCGTTGGGAAATAATTAGTTACATAACAAGAAGCCAGCCTTTCATAATATAAACCACGACATAGTAAAAATGCGGCATGTAAAAAAAATGTAAACACTTCTTTTTTATTTTCCGCTGCTTATTATATTGAACACTTTTTAATGAGAACTCCTAACTGGAAGTTTTAATTTATTCCGCATATTACGAAACGAAGTAATTATGAAGTGCATTATTTAAAACTCAATATTTATGTGTTCACATTTTAATGAAACTTCATATAATATTTTACTAAGCATTATATTTTTGAAGATATTTTAAAATAAATTTACAATTAATTGAACATTTGTTCAAAATTATCAATATCGCTTCAAGAAATTGCGCATATAATCAAATACAGTAAAAGATTCATCAAAACAAAATTCATCTATACACGCCATATCAGAAAAATATTGAGAACTACAGAACACACAGAACTATGTTTGGGGAAACCACTCGAAAAATTTATTTTAGTATACTTCAGTAATTTTCATTTCAATAAACATAGATAAAAATTTAAATGGGAAATTTTAGATAACTTTAGGAAGATATTAGTATTTTTAATATTTGTTGACGCAGACGACGTAACACACACACACACAAAATTTTCAGATTAAAGCTTGATCAACTTTTA